ACCGATCGTGATGGCCATCTCCTCTGGCAGTCTTGGAAAAGTTCCAATGGACATGGAGGAGTGTGAGGTAGCAGCGGAGCTGCTTGATGAGGAAGAGGAAATGTTGATGTTGATGCGTCCATGCCTGGGCGTCACCGTTCGATGGCTGTCAGCCCCGATCTGGCGGAATGGAGCAAGAAGGTCCTTGGCCCTGAAGTGGTGGCGGCTTTGTTGCCGTCTTCTGATATGGAGCTGGGGGAAATGGATTCTGGCGAGGTCTCGGTCGAAAGACAGCCCTCCCCTAAGGAACAAGGTTTGTTCGGATGCCCTTCAGATGTTTGTGATAATGCCGGATCCGGGAAATCTGGCGTTAGCTGTGGCGAACCGCCGAGGCGGGAAGCCACCCCACGACAGATCTTCTCGGATAAAGGGGCCAACCCGTGGCGACGTCCGGTGCACATCCAAATTGAATGCCCAAATGAGATTAAGGCCTTAGCTGCGGATGGCATTAATGTCACCCTTAACTTGGAGCGTGTAAGGGACAATGTTGCTTCGCTGGAGCATGCAATTGTTGGGAAGATTCTTGGAAAGAAGGTCTCCTTCTTTCTGCTGAAAACGAAATTGGAAAGGCAATGGGGGGGATTTGGTGAATTCCAACTCACTACTATGGCGGCGGAATGCTTTATCTGCCGTTTCTCCTCCAATGAAGCGCGTGATGCTATGCTTTGCGGAGGGCCTTGGTTTATTGGGGGATGCTTGGTTGGCCTGGATCGGTGGACTCCTGGTTTCTCCCCGGCATCTATGGAGGGTCTCTCTTCTCCTGTTTGGATTCGATTACCTAATCTCCCGCTGGAATATTGGGATGAATGTAATATCTCCCGCATTGCCTCTCGCATTGGGCTGCCCATGTGGATTGATGCTCAAACTGATAACTGGGGGCGGCGGGAATATGCCAGCGTCTGTGTGCGGATGAACTTGGCTAATCAGCTTTTGACTGGCATTTGGATTGAGGGCCTAAATGGCCGGTTCTACCAGAAAGTAGAATATGAGGGTATTGGGCTATTATGTTATGGCTGTGGACGCGTTGGCCATCGCAGGGATGTCTGTCCCTCGAAGCCGTTGGCTCAAGCTACCAACTTGGGTAAGAAATCGATTGATCCCCGGGACTCGGTGGTGGATAGTAATCGTGATCGCTCGGGTGGTCGGCAGAGCGCTGTCAACCCTTCCGAATTGCCCAAGCCGAATGGCTTTGCTCCGGTGGCTTCCCCGTCTGCCCCGGAGTCCTCCCCTTCTAAGGAGACTGGCCCGGACCATGTTCCTGATCTTAACCCCCAGCTGGAGGAGAATTCCGAGGATCCTGTGGGGCCTTGGCTATTAGTTCCGCCACGTCGCCGCAAGAACGTGAACCCTCCTCTTCGGAACAAGGTGAGCAACGGCAATTTGGCTCTGAGTAAACCTCCGAAGCAGGTGGATCTGGACAAGATTACAGCGCCTATCAACTTGACCAAGCCGACTAGGAAACAAACAAGAATGGGCATCAATCAGACTCTACTTTTCTCGGCCGGAACTAAGGTTGGAGTGTCGGTGACTAATCGGTTCAATGCTGGGCTTGCGTTTAGCCAGGGTGCGGTTGATTTTGAACTCCCGCGTAAACGCAAAAAAGAAATTTTGGATGGAACTAGCGGCGGGGACGCTTCCCCTTTGGTTAATCCATGACGTCCATCCTCATCTGGAATTGTAGGTGGGGCCCATAAGAAACAAACTGGGCACTTCCTCCGTAGCCTCGTCGTTAGTCACGAGGTGTTGTTCGTCGGTTTGTTAGAAACCAAAATTGAAGTGATTTCTCGCTCTGATGTTGATGTCCTTATTGGGCCTTGTTGGGATTTCGTCCACCACCCGGCTAGAGGTACTTCGGGTGGCTTACTAGCGCTCTGGAGAAGGGACGTTGTTCAATTCGATGCCTTTAGAATGACGGATCAGGCTCTTGTTGGCCATTTGGTTCTCCCGAACCTCCAACGGTGGTGCCTGGCTCTTGTTTATGGTGGTAAAGACTACCATACCAGACATGGTCTCTGGGAAACGCTGGGTTCGAGCATGGATGCGGACCTCCCGGTTATGGTGGGAGGCGACTTCAATTGCTGTCTTGATCAAATTGAAAAGAAAGGTGGTCGTAGATTTGGCTTTCCTGTGGGTGCGCAGGAAATGGCTGCTTTCATGAGTTCTAACGACCTCCATGATCTGGGGTTCACGGGACCCAAATTTACTTGGTCTAACAATAAGGCGGGCACTAGTAAAATTTGGGTGCGATTGGACCGTATCCTGATGAACTCTTCTGAGCTTGACTTGGCCCCTTTGGCTTCGGTCAAACACCTGATTCGCCTTGCCTCGGATCATTGTCCTCTCCTTCTGCAGCTGCTGGAGTCCCTCCCGAACAGACCTAGTAAATGGATCAGATTTGAGGACACTTGGCGGACTTATCCAGCTACTTGGAAGCTTGTGTGGAAGAATTGGTCCAAGCCAGATCATGGGATGCTGGCTGATGTGCTTAACCGCAAATGCTCCAGAACTATTCGGGCTCTCTCTTTCTGGAGTCGCAATCGTTTACAGGATCTGGGAACTCTGAGGAAGTCTCTTGAGGACCGGTTGGCTGAGCTCCAGCTGATTGATTGCTCTGAGGATGGCCTTTCTGCGGAGGAGGACCATGAATTGCGGATGAAGGCTTGCGAACTGAATGCTACGCTTGCTCGGATGGCGACTTGGTGGAGGCAACGGGCGAAAACCCGGTGGATTGCGGAGGGAGATTCCAACTCCCGTTTTTTCCATTCTTTTGCTACAGCCAGGCGGCGGGGCAACCGAATTGTTGATATCCTGTGCCTCAATGGGGAGAGAACCTCTGAACCTGCTGCCATTCAGGATGAGTTTATGAATTTTTTCTCTCTTAAGTGGCAGGAAAGATGTATCTCCTTGGAGGATTGGCCGAATCTCCGGCCGGAGAACTTGGTCCATGATAACTTGAAGGGGGAGATGGAGGCTGAGGTCACTGAGCTGGAGATCCGGCAGGCTATTTTCAGCATGGGGGAAAACCGGTCGCCGGGACTGGACGGTATCACTGTTTCTTTCCTTAAATTTTATTGGGAAATCATTAAAGTTGATGTCATCCGTGCTATTCTACATTTTTTCGAATCTAATTCCATGTGTGATAGCTGGAAAGACACGTTGGTTGTGCTCATTCCTAAGGTGGACAATGCTAATTCTCCGTCTAAATTCCGACCTATTAGCCTCTGTCAGTCTTTTTACAAGGTGGTGGCTAAAGTTCTTATCAACCATCTCAAGCCGTGCCTGGGGATTATTATTAGTGAGGAGCAAGGTGCTTTTGTCCCGAGGAGATCCATTTCTAACCATGCTCTTGTGGCTCAAGAGGTGATGCATAAATTCCAGCACTCACTCCAACGGGCGGGTATGATGGCTCTGAAGATCGATATGGAGCAGGCATACGACTGTATGGCTTGGGATACTTTGAGACAGATTATGTCCCGAATGGGCTTCCCGGCTCGGGTTATTCAATGGGTTACCCGATGTGTCACTCGACCTCGCTTTACTTTGATGATTAATGGAAATAGGACTCCCTGGATTGCTGCGCAGTGTGGTCTCCGCCAGGGATGCCCGTTATCCCCCTATCTCTTTATTCTTTTCTCCGAGCTTCTGTCGTTGGCCTTTAAACTTTGGGGAGGGAACCTGGGAATTCCCCTTGGCAGAAATCCAGTTAATATTTCGCACTTACTCTACGCAGACGACATCCTTGTGTTTGCTGAGGCCAACCGTTGCAATGCTAATCGTATCAGGAGCATTCTTGCGGATTACTGCTGCTGAACTGTGAGAACAAGTCGGCCGTGCTCTTTAATAAGCATTGTCCCAGATGGAAGCAGAGGACGTTCTCCCGGCTAATGAATTTTCGTATTGTGGATTCTCTGGATTACTTGGGAATTCCCTTGGTCATGAGGAGATTAGTTGCAGCCGACTTCGCTAAGGTTCTTGGTAATGCCCATGAGAAAACGAATGTGTGGGGCAAAAAACATCTCTCGTATGCGGGCAGAGCGCTTTTGATTCGCACTGCCTTGCTCACCATTCCTGGTTACCTGTTAGCCCACTCGGAGGTGCCGAGTAGTGTTCTCAACTCGATCGAAAGCTGGGCCGTCAGCTCTTATGGCAGAAAGACTCAAACAGCAAGGGAATGCACTATGTTTGTTGGAAGGATCTTTGTCTCCCGAGTGACCACGACGGGCTTGGTTTTCATGATCTGATCAAGTGGCGGGGGCCCCTCCGTGCTCGTCTTGCTTGGGCGACCCTGAATGACTCGGACTCTCTCCTTCACAAAGTGATGCAAGCCAAATATGGCCTTGACATGTGGAATAACTCCCGAATTCCTAAATGCTCTATCTCTTGGAAGATTATTAAAGAAGGTGCTGATGCTCTATCGTCTGTGATCCGTTGGCGTGTGGGGGACGGCCGAAGTATCCTCCACATTTTAAACGACTGCTAGATCCTCAATCGTAAGCTTGCTCGGTGGCCTTCCTTTGTGAATATTGAGGAAGTGGATAATGCGATGGTCAGTGAATTGCTGGACGACAATCGGAACTGGATTGCTACTCGTGTGGAGCGTCTCTTTGGGAAGATAATGGCGGCCCGCATCTTGGACATTGAAATTTTGACTGGCGAGGGGCCGGACTTGCCTGAGCTCTCCCGCGCTTGCTTCGGCTCGACCCTTTCTGCTGTAATCTATCGGGAGAAGTTCGAACCCTCGGAGTTTCAATTCGGCTGGCTGCTCAAACTGAAGCTCCATCCGCGGGAGAAATTCCACTGGTGGAGATTACTTCGGAATGCTATTCCTACTAATGCGTGGCTCTTGCGCCGGGGGCTGGCGGCCAACTGTGATTGCCCCTGGGGCTGCAATGTGGAGGAGAATGTTGATCACTGCACTACTTGTTGTTCCAAGCTTCTCAAAGTTCTTGGCATTCTCGGCAAATGGGGCTTTCATGTCCCTACTTTCAGCTCATTGGGTGAATTATTGAATATGATGCCTGCCTTGGCTGATATGAACCCGCTCCTTGCTATCATCTTCTGTTATTCTGTGTACCAAGTTTGGCGCGCTAGGAATGATCTGAAACACACCGGTCATCACCGCCCGGCATCTATTATGGCTGCCACTGTGCTATCGCTGCTGCCTAAGCTTACCCGTAAGCCAATTCTGTTGCAATGAGGTTTCCACCAGCCCTCGCGGCTGCCTACCTTACTATCCTGGTGCCCCACCCCCTCTCAGGTTGGCTTAAATTTAATGTGGACGCGACGGTTAGATTGTTCAGCCAGGCGGGCATTGGTGTGGTTGTCCGGAATGCT